GTTATAAACACACAAAAGTATCATTGAACGACAACAACAACAGAAAAGTTAACCCAAGAAAAAAAAACCTGAACTCTTTTTTTTCTGGTGACTTTGATTCCATTTGTTGACTTGTTTTCACACAAAAATATAAATTCATTGAATGAAGCAAAAGGATGAAATTTTCATACGTAAATATTATTACAACAAACGCGTAAACCCGTTGTTGGTATCATTTGTATGAAACAAGAAACCCATTGAATAACGTTCATCGTCATTATCATGAACAACGGCAAACCAAGAAACATCATCATTAACAACAATAACAAACGTCAACAATAAAAGCTTATTGTTTATTTTCATTTGTATTACACTTTTGGTGCCTTTTGTTTTGTTTTGTATCAACCAACCAATTCTCACAGTTAATGATGATGGTTATGATTAGGTTGATGATAAAAGATGATAAACTTGTAAATGAAACGTAAATTGAAATGCATCATCAAGTGATCAGAATGTGAATCAAGTTGAGCTCTTCATTCAGTGGAAACATTAATCATCACTGATCACTGAATGGTCAGTTAATCACTTTAAACTTTCCTCTTTTTCATTCATACAAATCTATCTTAAGACAAGTTTAGGTGAAAAAGGTTGGCATGGAAATTGAAGGTAAAAAAGCATCGAAAGTAGACTTGGGTTCGACCTGAATTCCTGAACAATTATATTCGCTTTGACTTTCTCTTTTCAATCAACATCACTGATTAACTAATTAACTATTTACATTGATTTTGCTTTTCCGCTTTTCTCATGTTTTTACACCAAAAGTGTTTTCCATTTTTTTGGTTCAACTTGTTTCAACACCTTTCATTGTTATTCAAGCTTTAATTGTTGTCTTTGGTTAAACATTTTAACTACTTCATTGATCAACTTAATCACCATTAACTCGTGGCAAGTTTCATGATTAAAAAGGTTTGGTTGTTAAGCAAATTGATTGAACACAAAAAGGTAGAAGAAGTTAAATGTTCAAATGAACATGTAAAAGTTGATTAAACATCAATAACTTGCAATGATCCAAAATAATGACACTTGTTGTTAAGAGTTAATTAAAGATAATTAATGTGTCAATTGAAAGTGAAGTTAATGATCACATGAAAATGAAGTGAAATCATGAAATTAATGAAAAAGGTAGAAAATGATAAATCTTAAGTTGAATCAATCGCAAGAAGAAGAAAAAAATGATTAACACTGAATTTACCTCTTTTCTTCTTCTTTACCTTTTCTCAATTCTGATTGAAGTACAACAAATTGATTATATTTTTGTTTTCTGCTTAACTAAACTAATAATAATCAATATTATTAATAGCAATAAAGGTTGAACAATTACACAATTTACTGATTGAATTGACAAAATTGAGGAAACAAAAATGCTAAATGTTGAAATGGTTGGAAAGGATTGAGGAAAAGGTTTGATTGTCAAATTATAACAATCATTGAGAAGAAGATATTTTTAGCTTGAAAAATACAAATTAGTGATTAAGTTAATCATTGAGTTTTCATTTTTGTTGTTTTATCCAAAAATCAAGTGATTTGATTTGCTTTCAACAAAAGGTAAATGCAAAAATGCCCAAAATTGAATATCTTTTTGTTCAATTTCATTGAATCAAGTTAAAGATGATTTTATCATCAACTTTCGCCTCAAGGTAACTTTCATCAAATAAACTCTTTTTTTTTACTTTTCACTTTATTTCATCCAATATATCATCTCAATCATCATTAATATCACTTTTGATTGCTCATCATTTGTTCACAATTTGCTTTCTTCACTCTCTTTGGTTAAACTGCTCTCGTCAGCAATCAGATTATTTGGATTCATTGATTGGAAAACCTCCAAATAATCAGCATGAAAAAGATATAAAAATCATTATCATGAGACAAAAACAGTTGATTCGCGTGAATTGTCATGAAATTGAGCAGAAATGAAGGAATCAGTTAAACATTCTGAATGTTTGATGAGAAAACAAATTTGAGGAAATCTGAATTTCCAAAGATTCCATCACTTTTCATTGCTTTTCATTTGAATTGTCTTTCAATTTTGATGTTTTTGTCCATTTTTTTAGGAAATTTTTTTCAGTCTAATTTCATTCCTTCAATTCACCAACAATTGTAATTTTGTTGCAACTTGAAACTCTTAAAACACAGCTAATCAGTAAAGGTTGTATGTTATATAATTAAACGTTACAATGTTTAAGTTAATTGTCTATTTGTATGCGTTTGTTAATACCTTTTTTATTAATGTTAATTGTTAGTGTTAATTATGCATTTTATTGCACTTTTAAATTATTCATAATTGCTACTTTGATTTGCAGTTTTGTTTCACTTCACTTCTGATTCCGTTTTGGTGATGGTTTTAACCTTAAAACCCGCATTAATATCATTGATAGGACAGAATCACTCGAAGGAACAAAAAAAAGTAGGAAGAAACAAATGAAAGAAAAGCCATTTAACTATTCAATCAGCTTTCATTAATTATTAGATGACAATCTGATGTTGATTAGATTTGTGACAGAAAAATTAATGTCCAAAATGAGGTTAAACTTTAAACTGTTAATGTAATTATGCAAAAATTGAGAGTTGGAACCATTCAAGTTTGGTCAGGTTTGATTCTCAGATGAATAAATTGATGGAAATCACAGAATTTTTTTCATTTCTGAGTAAATTCAACAGAGGAATAAATAATCAAAGTGTTGAAAGAAGCCAAAAAATCAGATGTTTGTGTTATTGAAGGAAAATATTTGTCAACATGGAAAAGATGAAAAAGAAAAGATTTGGTGGAAAAAAAAATGAAATGAAAAATGAAAATACATTTATAATGAAAGTAAAGATGATTTTGATGAAGACGAAGATGGGGAAGAAGAGGAAGAAGAAGAGGGAAAGAAGACAATCCAGACAAAATTGGGTTGATTAACCAACTTTTTATGCGACTATTTGGAAAGGTTGAAAATGAATATCTTGAGATTAGACAGAATCATGTTTAACATGCGTATAAACATGATCGTCTAGAATCTAGAATTGACATCAATAATAATGATGATAATATTTTATGTTTCCCATTACCTTTTGTTGTGTCACAAATAATCGGTTAAACCACAGGATAAAGATGATAATAAAGGCGAGAGAAGCAAAAGTGAGGGTAAAAAAGTGGTTCTCGTCTTACCCATAGCCATCATTGATTTATGACCCGGCTTCTGTCTGGTTCTGCTTACAGTCTAAAAGCATTTCAGCCTCTTCCTGATCGCATTTTCATCATCATCATCATCTATGTCTATTATGTTTCTGCCAATTCACCAAATTTATTGAATCCATTTACCTGATTGAAGAGACGTTTACTCCTGTTAAACCCGTTAAGGCCAACGACATGTTCATCATCATCTTTTTCCCTCACTCTCATCCTCACTCTCATCATACTCATCATCATTCTAGTCATAATAATGATGATTATCTGAGAAATGCCAGACTCAGTCTGACTTATATTTTTGGTCTTGTCTGGCTTATCTAATGAGATGATGATTCTGTCCAGCAATCTCTGAATCTCACTTTCAACTTTACTTTTTTTTCATTATCATTTTCATCCATTTCTTCCTTATCTTCTTTGACACATAACTTGCTGTTCCCTCCTCATGGATCAACCAAAATGTATGAGATGATGAGAGGCAAAAGCAAATCGTCAAACCTTATATTGATGATGATAACTTTCGTTTAACTTTTTCATCTTCATCTTCTTCTTTCTTTCAGTCTTTCTTTCTCTTCCCTTTTTAAGGAATTGATGGGCAACCTGCCATCATCTTGTTCCCATCTTCATCCTCTAACTTTTTGTCTTCCTTTCTCATTTTTCATCTTCCTTTTTTTTCTTCTTCTCTCTCTCTCCACCAAATCACCATTTTTGCTTATTGCTAAGCTATTAGAATCGCGTTATATTAAAAGTCATTCAAAGTAAGCAAAAAAACGTTCACTCAAATGGTTGAGAAGACTTTTAAATTGTCCAAGTCGAGGTAATAACTCAATTACAATCAAGTCTTTTTACGTTCATTTCTGTATGACAGTTTCACGCACAATCTGAGGTTAACATCATCATTTAAACTTTGCTTCATCTCTTTTTTGTTTGGCGGGAATTCAGCTTTTCACTTGACTTTTCACAGCTAAATATCAAGTGTTTTTTAAGGTGCAAAAAAACTTGGTTATGGTTACTTGGCGATGACCTAAGCAAAGGTACAAGATGACAACGGGAATATTTTCTGAAGATTAAATCCAAAAAAAAATCCATGAAAAGTGCACTTTTTTTGCTGTTTCTCGAAGCGTTTATTGTGAGCTTTTTTTTATTTATCTTCTGTTTCTTACTGCTTTATGATCATTTTTATTTATTGGTGATGATGAAAAGCTTCTGAATTTTATGAAATAAAAAGGTATTCATTGATTCAATGAGTTTGTTGTGCAGTATTAATGTTTTTCATAAAAAAGTGCAAACGAGTTCAGGAAAAACAGGATTACCTTTCTTCTTCTTCTCCTTTTTTATGTGATTGATGAATTATTATATGTTGTTTTATCCCTAATCAAGATTATGTCTTGTATTGTGTACTTGTGAGAGACACCAATTTAAGGTTTATGTGTATATACAAATATACACATTTTTTGCTCTCTCTCGCCATGAAAAGTAACATCAAATAATAAAGTTCACCGACAGATAAAGGAAAGGTTAAACAGAGGATTGAACTGAATCGAAATGAAAAGAAAGCCCACTTTTTGTTATCTGTTTGCTTGTAATATCATTAAAATAACTGACGATGCATAAGCAAGTACAATTTCACATTATGGGAACCTTTAGCTAAGCTTTAACTAAAAAAGATTGATTGTTGGGTAAGTTTATTGTACTGCAGTTTAGTTAATCAAAGATTTAGTTTAACCGGGTTCCAAAACCATGTTCAGATTAACTGGATTCTTAATAATAATCAATTGTAGATTTGACTTAGTTTAAATAATGGTAAATGAATGTTAAATGTTACTCTTCAAGTAACCGCCACTTTGAATAATGTATAAATAATATCCAGTTGTTCGAAGATGTTTACAGTTGTTGTTGTTGCTGTTAGCTATTGAGATTGCTGTTTTTGCCGTTGTTGTTATATTGTTAATGATGTTTGTTTGTTTGATGTCTGGTTCCTTTAATAATAATAACCAATGGAAGTTTGGTCAACAGTTTCAATTGTTGATTAACCATTCTGTCGGCAATTTGAATCTTTAATATGATTAGACTGATGGTCAACAAGCAAAGGGAAATAAGGCTAAAGGCAATCCATTCTCAAATTCCTTGCACTGGATAACAAAAGGAATAAGAAGAGAGAAAGTGGAACACCTCTCCCATCCTTTTCCTACCTTCTCCACCTCCTCCTCCTCCTCCTCCGCCTTCTTCTTTCCCAACATCATCACCATCTTCAGTAATTTCATCAGTAAACAGCATCAGCTTTTTTTTCGCTTTTCCCAGTTTCTATCCATCATCAGTGACAAAACAAAAATTTAGGCTTTTCTTAAATGAGACCACCAATGAGTCTTTTTAACAGCAATTAAACGAGGAACCAATTCAATTTAAGGAAACAAGTACATAAACTTCATAATTGAAAGCTTGAAAAAAGACGGCTTATCCTATGACCTCCACTTGCTTTATTACAACTTCACCTTTAGCCATAAACAAGTGAGATAATTAGCATTCCTGTAGTAAGGAAGAAAGAAAGAGAGTGAGAAAATATTCGCAACTGGGTTGATAATAAAAGGTAAATTTTGGGTAAAAGGAAAATTTTTGCTTACCAAAATTAATCCCCAACAATGGTTGGCTTTACAATTTGAACCAGCATTTTGATCACATAAAGATGTTAGTAGATATTTTCAATTGAATTGTGTTGATTATTAGCGTTTTCAGGGCAAAAACAGTAGATTAAAAAAGCACATTGAATTTAATATAAAATTATAATCAAACCAAAAAAAGACGGATTGAACCAGATTATAAAAACTAAAAAGGTTAGCAAAAACAAATGCAAGATGAGATGACTTCTTATCAAACTGATGATACCAGAAAGACTAGACATTTTGGCGGCAAAGAGTTGCCTGGCATTGTCTTATCCAATAGCAAGTAGACTAGTCAAATCCAATGGAGTCTACTTTGTTTATATTAACGTCTTATTTAGCAATCTGCTAATTTTGTCGCCATTTTTTGATCTCGAATGGGTTATTTTTCCCTCCAAAAGTTGAATACTATCAAATAATCTTTCCTTTTACCAGAAAATTTGATTTTGTGCTTTCTGTTAATCAAAGTTGTGCTTTATTTACTTACCGTGCTTCATTTGACCAAAGCTTTTGATCCAAAAGTAATTTTACTCTGGAATGTTGAACAATGCTGATTTGGGGTTTTTCCCACCATCTTCGCATTTTGCTAATAGTTGATAGAGATTGTGGTCCAAGCCTGATTCTTTGATGGTGGAGCGATGGAGGAAAAAACCTTATAAAATGGAGTCGAGTTTGGTCAAATTGGTGAAAGTCCATTGTGATAGTAGATATAAAACAAACGTATCTCTCTTATTCTTTGTTTATCCTTTTGCTTTTTTCTTCTCCAATTTTTACTAATCTAATTACCCACTAACAGATATCATCAACTTGAATCAACTTTAACTGTTTACTGAGTTTACTTTTTTTGCTCTCTCTCCTCGGTTTGCGCTTCTTGCTCTTTCCTCCTCCTCTATCACCAACATCACCAACATCATCATCTCTTCGGCTTCTTTACAATTATCATCAATCATCTCTCAATCAGCTTTCTTTTAATCGTCATTTCCAGTGATGAACCTGCTAATAGTAATCACGATCACTCTAATTATAAATGTGATATCAATTGTTCAATTTTAAAGCTTTCACTTTTTTTCTGGTTTTCTGGTTAATTGTCAATGAAAGCAAACACAAAAATTCAATTAAATCGTCTAATCCTTTTTTTCTTGATTCTCTTTCAGTTAACGGAAGTGTTGATCATTAAACAATTCATCAAGGGCAGATGACGACATCATCATGAAAATCATTCACTGGATGCTCTGAATAAAAAGAGAGAAAGAGAACAGAAAATGTAAACAAAAATAAATTGATGGTTTGATGGCCTTTAATATCAATTATTGACTCTGATTATCAACCAAGGCTGAATCATATTTATGAACTGAAATTTAATCATAGTAGATCATCAACATTATCATCATAATCGTCATGATAATAACAATGCCTTCAATGCTGATTACGGTTATCTCCAAAGAGCCAATTTCAAGCAAATTTTCTTTGCCCTCAAGTGTTTATCAATTTGCTACTTTCCATTAACATCGCCAAACCAAAACAAAAAAAATACATCAGTAATTACCAACAAAACCGACACAGGAACAACAATAAGATGAAAGCAAACATTCTGGAAACCGATGAATTAATCAATGCGTATTTACCTGTAACTGTAAGTGGCTAACTTGCCCAGTTTTCATAACAAAACATGAACATTAATTTTATCCTTTTCTGATTCTCCATTCAGAGCTAACTTTTTTTACAAGGAAACTGGATAAGATTACAGCATAAAATTAACTGAGACATTCTAAATGGTGGATTGATGAATGAGCTTCCAGTGACGAGCACAGAATGAAAGTTGAAAAGAAGATGAGGTTTGATGTTGATGACCTTAAAAAGACCTCAACAAGTACTCATTATACCATCAAAATTGATTGATATCTTTTAACTCATTTCCATGTAGGCCTTAAATAACAATTACCGTATTAGTTAACCTACATTGAATAGAGTAAAGGTAAAAAACTTGGTGCAAAAAAGCTCAAGTTTATCAATTTTCAGCAGAATTTTTCTCTTCTTCATCTTCTCATTTCAGATTATAACAACAAACAATTTGGAGTGCATTTTTAGTGTTATATTTGGCTAAAAACGAGTAAACTAAGGTTAAATCCTCATCTATTATTACTTCAAGTCTTCATTCAAGTTAATTGTGAGTAGAGTAAAAATATAACCATCACTAACAAGTTTTCATTTTACATCTTAAACTCATTCATTCATATTCTTCTCTCTTCTTTTACAGCATCTTATTACTGGTTTCACCGGAAGTTGTGGTCCGGCACTACAATTTTATGAATGAATAAACAGTATTTACGTGTGTAAAAACACCAACATAAAACTACACCAACAAAAAATGGTTAACGTAAAAAACAATCGTAGGTGGAGGAGGAAAAGAAATTCAAAGTCTGTCAGGATCAGATTTTCTCAATGAATTGTAAACCGCAATTTTTATCCTCGTCATTAACTCATTCACAACATACCTGTAGGCGACTGGATAAAAACAAACCAATCAGTTAGTCACCAAGACCACTACCAACACCAGGATCATTCAACTTTGACAGCTTGATCTCTTGGGCATAAAGCAATTCATTTCTAGTTTTTTTTGTGACCAATCCAAAATCATTGGTGAAATAGCGTTGATCAAGCTTTCATCAACTTTCATTTCTCGGATCAGATCAAGAGACACCCAAAAACCTCTAATATACCCATGAAGCATAACATTGTTGCAAATTTTTAGTCTTGAAGTTTTTTCTGGTTCCATTTTTTTTTTGCTCTTCCTCAAGTTAGTTGAACTGTTGATGATAAAAATCTTGATTTTTATCATGACAGAATCTCATTCAGTGACTCTCATTGTCATTAACAAATTGTCAGAATCATTGACTTGAAAGAAAGAGGGTGAGAAAAGAGATGAAAGATATTGAACAGCAGTAAAAAAAATTGGAACCATGATGAAATAATGGAGATACAGATGAACTTCCGGCGATGAGTAGTTTCCTGGTGAAATGTCATTATATAAATAGTAATTTGACATTTGCAAATGGTGAATAACTCAATTCAGAGTTTTTTTCTCTCTACT